GCTCCTTTTCCTCTTGCAGCTCCTCTTCCTGGTAGCTGCAGCTGCCTGGTCTTTCCTGTACCTTTCACACAGCAGCGCATGGAACTGTTTAACTCCACTCTCTGATTTTTCCACCTTAAGTTCCTCCTTCTCTCTTTCAGATTGCTTGTTTTCTAGTCTGTATGTGCACGTGCGTGCTTGGAGCGCAAAATAAAAAAAAATGACGCTAGAATACGGCGGTTACCAAAATTAATATTAGGCTATAAAACTAGTCCCAATTAAAAAACTAAATGTTATCTATGCTAAAACAGGTGAAAGCTTCAGACTGCAGTTCTGTAAAGAAGCAGGAGAGGGTTTGGATTTGTTGAACTAGAGAAATGAAAGTAACCAACGTTAGGAGTTCTTTTCTAAAACTAAATATTCAGTCAGACAGGAGTTCTGAAAACAGCTGTTAAAATAAACAAAGACTGTAAACTATCAATATTTCTGATTCCCTTTCACCAATATTTTTTGCTGTTACTGTTTTCATTTTTGACGGCAGTTCAGGTATAAATAACAGGTTTTATTTCTTTTGTAGAACATAAAATGAGAAGAATGCTAAATAACTGCCATTTTTTGTTTTCCACATTAAAATAGTTCTATTTAATTGACTTCTACTTCTAGAAATAGAATAAAGATAAACAGAGGAACTCTATTTACAGTGATTCTATGTTTCTAGATTTCCACACAGTTCATAAGTAAATTAGTCCAAACATTAATGTCTGGTAAATAATGCTGGAATCTGGATGTTTATTTTGGATACTATTACATTACAGATAAGATAGTGTTATATTGTCTTTATAATTGTTAAAAGTGATTTTATATTTGAATAAATTTAGGCTCATTCTTAGTGTTGTACTTTGTAGATGATGCCACTAAAAAATAAAATAGACATAAGGAGCTATTTAAACAGTCAGACAGTGAGTAATATAGGATGATGATAAAAGATTGTGTTACATTTAATCCTTTAATATTAAAAACACACATGTATAATAGAAACATTATATGATTGTAGGAAACCGATAATCAGTGCTGTATTATGGAAGAAATGTGTTTGGAATGTTACCATAAAATTAGGGCCGCAACTTATGATTATTTTGCAAATTGATTAATCCGTCGATTATTTTTTTTCCGATTAATCAGATAGACAAAGGTTCCTTAAAGAAGATTTTTTACTAAATTAAACAAGGTGAAACAGAAACATTTTCCTCTTGAGGAGATCTGGATGGAGAATATTGACAGACAAAAATTTTTTTTGTCTTAAATGTAAAATGTTTACATATTTTTTTACAGTCTTGGTATAATTCCTGCTCTAAGTGGGTGGCTCTGTCGGCTAAATCAATTAATCAATTACTAAATTAGGTGACAATTATTTAAATAATCCATTAATATGAATGTTTCATCCCTAGATAAAATACATGAAATGGGCGACACAGAGTAACTACAGCCCAGATGTGAAGTTAATATTTTAAATGCTCAGTGTCAGTTCCTCTTATAGTTCCAGTGCTCATGCAAATACAATACATTTATTTACCGTCCCTTTAATGTATTATTTGGCATGATACAGAGAGAGCATATTAGATAAAAAAATTAGAGTGGGGTTTACCTCTGCACAATTCTATATTGTCAAAAGAAAACACAAGACAAATCCACATATAGCAGGAATATTTAGACAATATTTGGTTATACAGACACTGTCTTAGTCGCTGGGAATTTTAAAAGCAAACCTTTTCAAAGTGGAAAAAAATCCTAATTCCACATTCATCAGAGCCAGTGATTTGTATTAATGTAGCAAGAAATGCTGCTGTTCTCTTTAAAAAAACATGTGCCCTGATGTTTACATTGAGCATAAAAAAGCATGCATTTTTTGCATAGGACCAATGAAAATGAAGACCAATAGTGTCCCTACCAAAGCTGGAATCAAACCTACGCCCTTGTCTTGAAGACATAAAAACCTGGATGACTCTTAACTTTCTCCTTCTGAATGCAGACAAAACAGAAGTTATAGTCTTTGGACCAGAGTCTCTGAAAAAGAAACTGATTAGTCAGTCACTTCATTTGGATGGGATTAAACTGATTTCAGATAATAAAGTAAAAAATCTTGGTGTTGTTTTTTTAATCAGGACCTGTCATTTAAATCCCAG